CAGCAGGGAAAAAGCCTCACGTAATTCACAGGTCTCATGAAAATTATTTTAAACCTGGCTCTTTTATTCTTCATACTAGTATACACAGAATTTATTATCGTTCTCAGAGCTCATCTGCTTTTAGCCAAAATAGATATAGTTTTCATGGGACGATGCTGGCCATGTTCAACAATGCAGTTCTGGGAGCTGTGGGTGGAAGTCTTCAGTCAAACGGACGACATCACAAATCCTCCACTTCATAGCGGAAAAGCTGCCAGTTTTGAATGGTTGGATGAAAGCTCCATGCAGAGAAGAAACCTTATTTATTGCATTAAAAAGGATAGAAATATTAAATAACTTTAAAAAATCAGTATAAATAATAACAGCATTCCTAGGAAGAAGGAATCAGAAAACAAACTACAGTGGGCAGAGTAGACGGCACTGGTGAAAACAGCTAAATTCGTACACAGCATTACTGGGTGTGTTTAAAAAGCCAGTGCCTGATAAAGTCACTGGGAGGCAAGAAAGATTGTACTGACACCCTGTCAGAAACCATTATGGAATTTTAAATAATAAAAAAATGTGTTGACCACAATGTGTCCAAAAGCAGGAGTTTGACCTCAAGTAACCCCACGGACTAATTGGTTGACCTCCAGTAACCCCAGAGTGACCATAGAAGATGACATTTGCCAGTCTGTGATTTTGTGATTCTGTGATTTGACCTCAAGTAACCCCAGAGTGACCATAGAATCATAGAAAGTTTTGGGTTGGAAGGGACCCCTAGAGGTCATCTAGTCCAACCCCCCTGCAGCGAGCAGGGACACCACTAACTAGATCAGGTTGCTCAGAGCCCTGTCCTGGTCTTGAGTGTTTCTAGGGATGGGGCCTCCACTACCTCTCTGAGCAACCCGTTCCAGTGTTTCACCACCCTCATTGTAAAGAATTTCTTCCTTATATCCAGCCTAAACCTACCCTGTTTTAGTTTAAAACCATTATCCCTCATCCTGTCACTGCTGTCTCTACTAAAAAGATTGTCCCCATCTTTCCTATAGGCTCCCTTTAAGTACTGAAATGCGCCAATCAGGCCTCCCCGCAGCCTTGTCTTCTCCAGGCTGGACAAGCCCAACTCTCTCAGCCTGTCCTCACAGGAGAGGTGCTCCAGCCCTCAGATCATTTTTGTAGCCCTCCTTTGGACCCACTCCAACAGTTTCCATGTCCTTAAGAAGATTACATTTGACATCAAGTAACCCCACGGGCTAATTGGTTCACCTCCAGTAACCCCAGAGTGGTCCCAAGCATTGCGTTTGACCTCCAAATGTGTGCACCAAACACTCTCTCATTTCAGGATAAATACAGTCACAAATACATATTCATTCTATTTCCAAGAAATATGTAGCATATTCACGGATTTTCCAAGACCTAATTAGCATATGTTAATGTCTTTCACGCATGTCTGTTGGCGCCTCTGGGTGGTCGTCGGGTGTCTTCAGATGGAGGCTTGTACTCTTCATCATGGTGGCCGCTGGTTGACCTTTGTTTCTGTGCAAACGCAGTTCTAAGATCACATATACCGTGTCCTTCCAGGTTGTTTTGTTCTGGTCTTGTTGCCCTCTTCGTGCCTCTTTATCTGTGTAGCTTGGTGCATCTGCTCTCCCAGGGCCGAGCTGCCTGGAGTAGAATTATTTAGGAGTCTCTTATCCTACAGCTATCCCAATTATCCAGTGAGGACCAAGACTTGCTTTGCGTTTAATTATTTTGTCTAATAACTTAAAGTGATAACTTGTATCTACCTACATCCACTACATTCATAGGTAGAAACCGAGGTTAGTACAGCAGTTACAGCATTAGACCACCATGCATGCAAGAATACAAACTGTAATAATAAAAATTACCAACTACTAGAAAATACCATTAAAGCTACTTAATTATAGTTTCACATTTCTTATGATCTTTTCTATCACTGTCCACCATGTAGCACTTTGCACACTCAGCTTTATTTGGGGATCAGTTTTTATTTTATGAGGGTGCTGCTACATTTGGAGCAGAAAGATGAAAGATCTCCAGCTCTGTTTTATTCTGTCTGGTACAACTGAAACTCTGCGTATTGTCTGTCCATAAATACCTTTACTTTTACACGTAGCAGTTGCAGATTGGGTGATATGTTTAAAGGACACCAGCACAGCTTGAAACTTCAAAACAACGCTCTACTGGATTGACATTCATTAGCAGTACACATTGCCAAGGATTAGTCCTTAATCACCTAAATTAGTCCTAAATTAGCCATGAGTATAAAACAGCAGAGAGCTGGGGTAAGCAGTTGTGCTTTGGATTTGGTGCTATGGTTTGTATGTTTTTAAAGTTGGGGGAAGAGTACTTTTTGTGAAGGAAGCCAGCTCTGCAATGGAATGTCTTCTTTTTTCTCTTTTTTTTTTTCCTCATTATTTATTGGTGGTTTACTCTTCTTTTTCTTCCTTTGAAAGGATGGGTGACAGCACAATGTCTCTGGAGTTGTTTTTTTTTTTTGCAGCCAGGACTTGCTTCATGGGTTTTTTCCCCAGCATGTTTCCTGTTGTCCTGTGGGATTACTTTGGCTTCACCCATCATCTTCTCTACCTATTAGTATGTGTAGGTTTTTTCTCTCTTTCACACGTTACTTCTACTTGTTTCCTATATTTCACTTGTGCAGTTGTCTTCTTTGTGCTTACTTATTCTGTGTATTTTTTTTTCCTTAGCTATTTCAGAAAGTGCCAGTTGCTGACTTTGCTATCAGAAATTATACCATGCTATCAAATGCCTACACATGGTCCCTGGTTACATTATCTTAGTGTACCTATGTCTGTGTTTAAGGCAAGTCTTATATCTTGCTTAACTTTTTTCTGCTTCTTGTGTGCAACAGGCCACCAGTTTGGCTACCTTGCTCTGCAGTGAGTGGCCATTAAGCCATAGTGGTGAATGTCTCTGTTGAAGGACTGTGTGCTCACTTAAGGGAAAATGTTGAGAAAATATCGTCCTGGAGAGGCTGCCAAGACTTACTCTAGACACGTATGCCCTCAGACATGAGTAACTGGAGAGGCTTTCCCACAGCAGGTTCCCAAGACTTACTTCATTTATGTATGTCCTCAGACCTGAATAACTGGCCTTCTCCCGTTAGCTGCTTTCTGCTGTTGTGGACCACATGAAGTGGAGACCAGCTGTTGACTGTTCTGTGAGTCCCACCATGGACCTGAAGGGCTGCTTTCCTGAAGGCCAGAGCCCAAACACCTCTGGCAAGTGTCACAAGAGCTGGTGAGGCCTGGGCTGGGGGAAGAGGTTACCTGCTCCTCTCTCCTGGCCGCATTTCTGAACTCCTAAGGGGAGTCTTGAGACTTGATTCACCCTTGGGTGAGTGTGGGCATGTTCCTTCATCATTTGCCATGAGCCATCCAAAGTTCTGAAAGAAGATGAGATTTGGATCATGTAGCCCTTCATAACATCAAAAATCTGCCTAGATTTCATGATCATATTGAATTATTACTTTATTTTGTTTGTTTATTTTTTTGGATGTTTGTGCTTGTCTTTTCTGTAGAGTATCTTTACAAATGTATAGAAGGCCATGATGTCTGACACCAGAATACATTCTTCCTCAGAAAATAATATAGTTAAGAGAAAATAATTGTGGGTGTCTTTTTTCTAGTTATGAACAAGTATTTTAGTTTTATTTCCTTTCTCTGTATTAGGTGACTTACCTATTTGATAACTCTCCAACTCAACCAGAAAGTGATCGCTTCAGGATAAGTTACAAGATTTTTAAAAAGCATTATTAAATGAAAGCCAATAACTATTACAGAACTGTGATACTAGAAAATAGTAATAAGAATTGGTCACACATGAAAAAAAAATATAGATAGATAGATACACATGGATATACCATTAGAGAAAAATACATATTTAGCAGTATTTTGGCAGCTGTAAGTACATAAAAGGATAAGACTAAGCAGCATTTAATTCTAGAGCTGCATAGATTTTCACTACTTTTATAGCTTTGCATGATGTGCCATGCAGCTGCTGCTTGTTTGAGGGGACAAAAAGAAAGAAGAGAGGAGCAGCAAAAGGTCTGAAGGAAAACCAGGCTCAAAAGCCCTTTCCATTCCACTTGGAAGTCTGTAACTGCCTCTAACGAATGGCTGGGGCTGTTCACCTTTTACATCACAAGGTCTAATCAGCAAGCAAATGTCCAATTATGGTATAGCAGTTCTAACGCTCTTCTATTGTCATATGCTCTTATAATAAATTTTGTTTGAGAATGGAATGACATAACTTCTTGCTCATCACTTAATCTTTCGATAATTTTCTTTACCTTCTGGCAGTGCTTGGGTTTGTTAACATCTTGGGCTCTCCTTTGCATCTTCCTGGATAAGATAAATGCTCGCAAATATCTGCAGAGGAAAAAGATAAGGAGTGACACCATCCTGCAGGATTTAACATAACGGGACATGACTTCATGAAGACAAATCTACAAAAGAAAATTGATTGGTCACTTATGCAATTGTTGTAGTTACTCTGCTTGTAAGCTGTTATATTGATGTGTGTCTTCTCCTGTTCCTGCACATCAGGACTATAATCTTTTCATTATTATATATCCATACAATAATACCTTTGAGGCAGATCTCAGGGTGCTCCATGCTATTTTACCCTAGACAACAAACTTTCATAGCAATCTGAGTTTCCCATTTTCACTCTTGTGGCTCACCAGTACAGACATAAAAGTAAATATACCCATTTCTGATGTTCTGCTAACAAAATGATGGTCTTTTATTCAACATCTGATTTAATTTTTTAACTGCAATATTTTGTTGGATTTCATCGTAAAGATTGCTTGCTACCCATGTGAACTCAGGAGCCTAGTTTCAGGTGGCTGACTGCAGGATTGAGGGCATATTCACCAATGCATAGAAATCCCATTAACTTCATACTTTGACTATGTCTGAGCTTTGATGCTAAAACAGCTAAGCCCTCGTTTCTCTGTTTCTTCCCTTTCACAGAACTCCAGTACTGGGACTCAGACCTGCAACTTCCCAAAATACCTTTTGAAGAAATCATGTACAATGATGAAAGTGCATACAAGTGGCTGCGCACCCTAAAGAAAGTGGGAATTGTGCTACTAACGGGAGCTGCTACTAGGCAGGGAGAGTTGGTTAAACTTGGCCACAGGATTGGGTTCCTGCGTCTCACTTTTTATGGGTGAGTTTGGTTTTTTAATATCCTTGCTTTGCTGGCTATTTAACCTCCTCTAGCTTTATTCGCTAAGATACTGTCATGTCCCTCATCCCAAGCTGTTTGGTAGAACTTTTTACAAAGTATATTAAAAAAAAAAACCCTACTAGTGGCTGTGCGCTCATTCTTAAAAAAAAAAAAATTACTAAAATAGATACTAACATTTAAACATAATTGCAATTTCTTGGTGCCTGAATAGCCACCAAAAACAGAACATTCAGGGTTTTCCATCTGAAAAGGTCTCTTCTCCCCCATAATAGAATAAAAACTAATAAAAATTATGGCAAGAGGTCTCCTTCACTCGGATTTGCCTCTAGTTCAGAGAAGAAGCAAACAAACCGTGTGGGCAATAACCATTGTCTCCTTCTTTGTCTAAAAAAAAAAAAAAAAAGGAAAAAAAAAAAATAAATACAAGTGGGGAAAACCTTAGCCAGAAAGACCACATTCTCTCAAGACTGGAAGTCAGAAGGAAAGATTTTCTGCCCCTAACACTCCTGTGGGAAGGCACATGTGAGCCCTGCTGGAGTATGCAATGCAGGTGAGGTTGGTAAAAGCAGCACTGTGGTATCAGGGAAAATACATTAAGGCAGGATGTTAATTGTGAGGTGAAGGGGAGGAAGGTGAACAAAAGGTCCCTTCTTCAAGCTATGATGTCTATTAAGACTTATTGTTAGATTTGCATTTTGCAACTATCGTTCCATCATCAGCTGTGGAAAAACATGTCATTGATGCTGCTGGCTTTTAGATTTAGTGAACCGTTTCTAAGAGGCAGAGAAATAGCCATTGTGATATGTTAATAATTTTTAGCAGTGTAGAAGTTGCTTCTTACCCAATTTCCATCCTTCATTTTTGTTTCATTTATGTTGAAAGCCAACCTATTTGTGCAGAATTTTTTCCCCACGCTTCAAATCAGGAAAGCTTGTTCAAGAATCTTCTAGAAATTGGCAGAAACTGAGGTGAACTCATAGCATTTAGAACAGCCTCTGAGAATGTCATTATTCTTTTTTTTTTAATTGTCTTCCAAAAAGAAGGGATGGAGAGAGTAACTGCTTTAAAATGCCATGAATATTATGAAGCTTTTTTCAGTTCCAACAGCCATGATAAATACTTCTTAAACTTTAAAGAGAGTGATGTATAAATGTACTAGGGTAGTTAAGATAATGTACTTTTGTTAAGGTGTGATTTCATTAAGGTGTAGTTTCCTCTTTCTGCTGACTGTGCCAGAAGGAAAAGTGGTTTTTGAAGTTAACAGGAATTCAGTCAGGTTAATCCTGCTACAATAAATGGGAGCAGAACCCCCTGCTCGACTCAAACCTCATCCAGTGCTACAAAGCATTTCCTAGCATTAAAAGCATTTCTAATATCATGCACTTCTATGTCTGGCAGTGTGCTATGGTCTCAATTTAAAACTTGCATCATTATGAAAATACTACTGCTTTCTCTCTGTGCTTTGACGTGATCCTAATAACAGATATGAGGAGATCCTTAGGGGTATCCAACCCTGATCATATCTGAGCGTGTTTCCCAGCTCTCCAGGGTATCTGAAGGATGAAACATTTGTTTTCTTTGTATCCAGACAGCTGCACAAGCATTTTGAGTTAGGAATTAATATAGCAAGCCCCAGATAACCACAAAAAATCTTGGTTCTTTGATAAAGCTTACTACTAAAAGATCTATCTCCAGAACACCTCAACGGGAGACGAGAAAAAAAACCAAAAAGCCCGAACAACAATAAACCCCCCCCATACAAACTCTTTAACATATACCATGGATTAGTGCTTACGTTACAACAGAGCGTTTAGTTGCTTTCCTAAAAGTTTCAGGGAAGAACAACTGGATTTGAAGAAATTCCTAGATCCTAAAACTGGAAATAATCTTGAAACCTGGAATAACATTCTTGACACGTCAGCCCACTGTTTCACCTATTCATCTGCTGAGCCCTGTAACATGGTTTTCACTAAGGTGTTCAAAAGTTTTTGACATTGAACTCGGCAGCATTGTAAGAAAAAAAAAATCTACTATTCTGCCTGGTACTGTGCCTCAGCTCTTAATCATCCTTGCTATTTGAAATTACTGCCAGCTGTCTGTCTGACACTGCCTGCAGCATCAAGCTTGTGATAACTCTGCTACGCTTGAGAGAGACTGAGAAGTCCCTCACTGCGTAAATGGGCATTAACTGTTAGGATATCATTTCCTTGTCTAAGTTGAGCTGACGTGATTCAGACTGACCTAGGGAGACATGCCATTTTATCGGTTGTGTCATCAAACTGGGCTTTTTTCCTGTTAAAAAAAGTTAGACTTGCCCCTCACTGACTTCCCTAACATGATTATAAACGGTAACGATTATTAAATGCTTCACCTTGTTTCAAGTCAGCTTCAATTAATGTTTACTCTCTTTGAAGATGGTTTCAATAAAAGTAATGTGTCGGGATGACTTCCGAGTCTGAGATATATGTTTTAATACATCCCACAAAGAACTTCCCGCCTATTAATGTTCCATACAAGACTGAGGTTGAAATGTGGCCTTGGTCCACACCATTTGAGCAAGTAGTGGTTAAAGCTCTGTTCACTGTTTAAATCAGACTGACTATTGGTGTTGATTAAACCTCATTTTTATGTTTCCTTATATATTAGGGTTCACAGTAAAGGAATGGTAAAAGGCTGTAAGTCTCCTTGCTTTTCCAAAACCTATTTGCTAATTCATGTACTTATTAGGCTGCAGAAAGAGAGTTTCAATGTTAAGGAAACTTTACAATTCTACTACAAAATTATTTATAAAAATTCTTTACAATTCTTTACAAAATCTACTACTAATTCTGCATTTTAAAAAACCACAGTTAGTTAGAATATTTAATTTAGTTGAGTTTGGGTTTTTTCTTTTTTATTCTTTAAACACAGCTGTAGTACTTGAAAGTCTTGAAGTCTGGTTTACATCATCCCAATTGAGCCGCCATGGTTAGATTTACTCTCAGTCATTTGAGAGTTGCTGATTATGTTTCTGTGTATGATTAGGTTGATTTTGCAATATTGCATTAAAATCTGAAGAGCATGAGGTCAAAGAGAGCCTGACATCCAAAGACTGGTTTTGCAGACTAGTCTGGATTTCAGGTAACAATAAAACAGCTCTGCCACAGGGTGAAGTCAAGAAGCTCCATACAGACCAGTGTCCAGCTCTGAAAGAAGAGCCTATGCCCCAGTGCTAAAGGACAGGAACAGTCAGAAAAGGGGGAGGATGTGTGTGACACAATGTGCATATTAGCAGAGCCAAGACTTTCAGGAGGGAGAACCAAAACTGTGGAACACACTTTCTTTTTATGTTGCCGACTTGCAAGGAGAGACAGTAACTGTAGATTCAGAGGCAGCCTGCTCTGGAGCTCAGAGCCAGGCTCAGTGAGCTGATTTGGGACGGGTGTGCTGTTCCTTATGTCTTGGCTTTCGTCTCTCCTGTTCGGAGATCAGACACCGTTTGGCTGTCTCCGAGGTGCACTGTAAGGATGCGTTTGTTAAGGCTATACAGAAAAAGCATATCTCTTTCAAACATAACACTCACGGTGACACAAAGGTAAGCTGCCAGATCTGTACAGCGCAGCTGTCCTGCCAAGGAGGTGTACGAGAGGAGTTTGATGAGCCTTGACCCAGAGCTTACTTGAGTCATGAGAAGGGTACTGCCTGCCCCACCATACAGCTCTTCTGGTGTTGGATGAAGCCTATGAGAAATATTTTACAAAAGCAAGTATCATCTGCTTGCACGTGTGTGGTTTGTAGGCAAAACTGACACTGCTTCTGAGCATTGACTTCTCAATGCATTGTGAGGAGTTGTTGGTTTATCTTTTATCTCTGTTTAAGAGGAGTTTCTTTAATCACAAAGGCTGCATTTAGAAAGTTGGGCTGCAAAACTTTACACCTTTTCAAGAGTTGCTCTCCATTTTGCTGCACAGCCATCAACCAAGTCTCCTTCCTCCCTGGGCACATGCACACATCTTGCAGCCTGACATCCTCAGCAACATTCACCTGCTCTCATTGCCATACTGGGGATGTGAATGATTACTGCTTTGTAATTATTTTTTTTAATGACTCTTTAGACCATTTTTCTTCCTTAAGCGCTCTGCTGGGGCGGGGGGGGAGAGAGGGAAGAAATCCTAAAATTCTGGAAAATACAAGCAGGATCATGCATAAACTTTGTATTGTTAGTGTAGTCGTTTAAGAAATTATCTATAAAGTATTTTTTAAAAATTAAGTAAAAAAACTAGTTTGAAATGTTTTCATGCAGATGTGTATGAAATGCTAACATGCTAAACGTCAGAAAATAGAGAATTGTATTCAAACAGCTTAATAACCCAGTGTTTGTTAAATGGGTAATTCATCACATGAAGTCTTGAAAAAGACTTTAATGGTTTTGTCTTATTTTTGGATATTTGGGGGGGGTAAGTGCTTTATGAGGAATAAATTTCTTATTTTTTTACCATGTATAGCTGGAACCCAGCCTAAAAATATTACAGAGAAGAAAAGACTTCTTTTCCTATTGTATCTTTTCTCCTAATTTAACCTGTTTCATTTTCAGCTATAGTTATTGTAGTGCCTGGTCTTGTTGCTCTTACATATTCCTTGCAGTAGCAGAAACTCCATTGAGTTTTCAGTCTTAACAACAGACTTAAAGCAGCATTTTACAGCTCCTCTCTTCACCTCTAAACCAGAAGTTCATTTCATACTGGCATCCAATTCTGAGGTGGCTTTTACAACTGTAATAAAATAATAACTGTAGGTAATTCCCTTGCTATTTTGCTAGCAGCCAAATACAAGTCCTACCAAATATTATAAATAAAAGGATAAATTTGGAATTGGCAAGCTTGCCAAATAAAACATTACCTGAACAGGGCCATGAATTTTAAACTGAAATGTAGCAGCAATGAATATAACCCTGACACATGGAAAAACAAAAGCCTTTTTTCTTGTCTAGATGTCTCTTCAGTACATGCTACCTAAAATGTCATTCCTGTAAAAAGTGGAAACATTCTCTGTATCAGCCATACAACAACATCAAGGGGTTCCACACTTTTAAATTAACCTTTTTCTTTATGTTACGGAGGCACAGCTCCATTAGCAAGGTCTCCCGTCATACCACAATTCATTTCTCCAGCTTCTCACGCCCTAGACCTTGTGCTCCTCTCCTATTCCAAAGCCTTGTCCAGGGCTTGGGGTGGCATGAAGGGCTTCCTTCAGGGCTCCAGTGCTCCCACTGAAACAGCCAAAGCTTCCACACCTCCCAGAGGGCTTCAGCTGTGAGAGAAGGACCTGGGTCCCAGATCTCTTGTGAATGAGACGTAGATTTTTAATAAAGCGCAAGACCAGATGATTCAGGTGTGGCTTCAGTTCCTAGTGCAGCGGTTTTGCAAGACTAAGGATGTGACAGACAGGCTAGTTTTCTGCTCAGGGAGACTGAGCCCACATTGCCACTTACTGCGAGAAATTGCTACACCTGCCTGATGCCAAATTTCCTCCTCTGTCAAACAGCCTGAGCAATTGATGTTGAAATCTGACCCTAATTACTAAATCTTAAACCATTCCACCCTGCTTTGCTCTCCCTAAGGGCCGAGAGTCCTCTGACATTACCCACCTTTTCTTCCTTTACTTCTCATGCGTTCTCCCCCTGACCAAGTGGATACTTCACTCAGTTGAGGCTTTGACAAAGTAAGGCTGATTTTTCCACATTCAGCGCTGAGCTCCCTATTAGCAGCGCTGACTTCAAGTCAGTAGCTTGAGCTTTGACTGAAGCTCCTTGCGTGGAAGGAAAGCTCCCGGGGACCAGCTCCCCTTGCAAAGCGTAACAGCATGAAAGCACTGACCGCTTTTGCAAAACCTTATAATGATTTTGTGAAGTACTACCATTCCAGCAATTGTATGTATTGCATATAAATGAGACAATTAAAATGTATTAAATTGTTTTAGAACCATCAAGTGACACTGGAGCCTTCTAAATTAAAGATACAGTGAACCTTCAACACTAATGACAAGGATGATATAATGGGCTATTTTTTGGATGTAAAATTGGCAACTACAGAAACGTGGTTAAAATTATCATACTTGTGTACTGAAGTAATGTACTGATGAATATGTGCTGTACTAAATAGTAAAAATGATTTCTCCCAGGCAGTTAAACACATTTGCAAATATTCAAGGGGGTTTTCCCCCCGGCAATATCAGAAATTTAGCTTTAGCATTTTGCATAGTTTCTATACTAAATACCACTCCTAGAACAAAAGTGTTTGTATACTGTATATAAATCATTTTGGTCTGCATGGCCTTTAGCCTATTTGCTTTTTAAACTATTATTAAGAAGTAATGCTAGACACACACCATCTGAAACACAATATATTTGGTCTACAGTATTTCACACGGGAAAATGAGTTTCATATTTTCTTTCAAATCACTTGTGTTCCTGTGATTACATGGACTGCATATGGCGAGTTACACTTTTCCAGACAAACGTCTGGATCTGTAACATGCATCTGCTGAGGACTGTCTTCAATCATGTAAACGCTGTAAAAAAAAAAAAAGTGTGGGTCTTGCTCTTAAATTCTCCTGCATCAAACCAGATTTTGATTGTGCTGCAACGTGATGTATTCATGTCTTTGTCATATAACTAAGACCTTTTTTTTTTCCCCCTGCAGTTGTCAGTAAACTTTCTTCTTGAATTTTGTCAAATTTCAAGACAGAAACTGTGTAGCAAAATAAATGGGGGTACTTCTCAGAAAAAGCGTCAGAGAAAGGGAAGAAGATACAAGGTCTTTCTTCAAGACATTTTCCTTTAGCAGCAAGTCTTCAAGTTACAGGGAAGATACCCCTGCAAAGGATACTCTGTATTTTCCAAGATCATAAAAATTTAAAAATAATTTTGGGGGAAAGTTACATAGGCTTTAACAACTTCATATTTCATCGATCATGTTCTCCAGCAGGCAGGGGAAAATGGAAGGTTGATGAAAAGAAGTGGGCCAATTTCCACTCTCTTATTTCTGAAGCCTCAGTAATAAGATGATGATTTATCCCAGCCAATACCTCTTGCTTACTGTCTTCAACTGATCTTTGCCTTCAGCAAAGTACTGCCGTGGGACAGCCATCATTCTTCTGGATACTACACTGGGGGCAGATGCCCCTTGGCGCACCTAAGTTTCTAGCGGGAATCTAGGACTGCTGAAATAAGCCTTCTTTGCTGGGGTGGGAGGACACTGCTAGATCATTATTTCCTTGTAATTTTACAATATTTCCATGTTCGAAGACAGAATGACTCTTTTGTACTGTGATTTCACAGTTTTCATGTGTACTGTCTGGCATGCTGGCTGGCTGTTTTAACGTGTTTTCTCTTTTCCCTTTCATTATGAAGACCAACTTGGCAAGTGCAAGACAAAGCAGATGCTAACAACGTGGCTTATACAACCGGGAAACTATGTTTTCACACCGATTATCCTGTTCTGCAGCATCCACCTGGGGTAAGGTGAATCTACTGACTTTTTCACAACATAAAAGGGGAAAGGGAAATGTTCCTATAGTGTGAAATATAATTAGTGTTCAGTGACTCCGAATTCTGACTTAAAAGAGCAATGTAAAATAACAACATATTAATCTGCATATAACAATCTACAGACATATGGGTATGCAATATATACATTATAAGTTCTGCATAACAAGCCCATTATGTATGCCATAATTTTCAGATGGAAACTCACAAAGTATTGACAGTATTACCATATGAGAAAGCGTTAAGGTCCTGTATGTGCTTTTAATGCTGCCTTCATTATGTTGAAGAAGTTAGGTGTCTACATGCTGTAGTCAAGTTGTGGCATCATAGGACATGCCTGTTGTCCTCAGGAGGAGACCGTATTTGGAGAAATATAATTAAGATGTTATGTTCTGGTTTCTATAATTTGATTTAATTTAGACTCTTATCTGCCCTTTCATAACTGGACAAAAAAAGGACATTTTGTAAAGCTGTCCAACAACCACAGAAAATACATTTTCACCTAGTCTCTGTCATATCAAAGCCTAATCCACATAATTCACCAGAGAACTGAAAAGTAGTATGGACAGGTACAAAGGAACAAAGATATATGATTCTATGTGCTTTCATAGGCTCCTAGAAATTTATGCCAGAAGGCATCAGTAGATCATACCGTCTCATTTTCAATACACCACAGGCTTTTCTTTTTTAGCCACTTTGCCCTGTATTGAGCCAAATAGCTTCTCTGGCCAAGACACCTTTCAGAGAAGCGTTAATCTCGGTCTGAAGATGTCGGTTTGGAGCATATGCCTCTTTCCTTGGACCTTCCTTCCAGCAGTTAACCCCCACCACTGTGGAAGTACTTACGCCCTCCCATTAAATCAGCTCTCAGCTGCCTTCACGATAAGCTGAGCAGCCTGAGCTTTGTGAGCTGCACAGAAAGACATTTTTCCAGCAGGTCCCCCAGTCCAGGGGCATCTTCCCCTAGACTCCTTCATCACTACACTCTTTGGACTGCAAGGTGTCTCGCTCTTCCCAGCCAGCACGACGTCAGGTGCTCCCCAGAAGTAATGGGCCAGGGTCAGTGTCAACAGAAAGATTTCACTTACAGCAGGGAGTGCAAACCAGCCCTGAAAACTATGTGAGTCTCAGTGTCCAAGCCATCAGCAGACCTTGCCCAAGGCACCAGGGACCACGCTTCCCTCCATGGTTTTTGAAACCGACATCAGTCCTCAAGTGAATGTGAGCAACAGTAATAGAACAGCATTGGCCATCATCAGGCATTACAAGACTCTGGGGCTGGAAAGAGCAAGGAAAAACACCCCGAAAACCCCCAAAGAACAGCCTTCCAGAAGCACTGCATCAACCACAGAGAGTGAGGATGCTGTTTCATGAGTTCAATGTGTTTATGACCAGGAGGAATACAGAACTCCAGGGGCTAGCTGTCCAGATTAATGGGTAAGAGAAGCGTAACCCTGGCAAAGTTTGCATCTACAAGCTTCGTACCTACAACTTCCTCTTCTCGCGTTGTGGAGTACTTTGTATCAGTTGTTTCTATAATTAAACAAAAACCCAATGTGAGTTATCCACAAGTAAGCACATCAAATACTTCACATTAACATCACCTATGAAAATAATTTAGATGCTGTTCATTAATGAGGAGTAAGAATGGAACAGGGCTTCATTAATAGATTTCAGTTTCCCCCTTCGTGACCATTATCAAGGTCTGTGGGATCCAGCTCATGAGGGGATTCTGGGACAAACCCTGTTCTCTGCTCCTCTTTCTTCTCCTGTTTTTTTTTTGTGTTTGTTTTTTCTCCTAACAGTCCTAGAAATAATTCACCATCATGGAACAGAAAAGTGAACACTGTTACCATTGGTATGACAGACGTATTTTGTGTAGTTGGGCTGAGATGAACGGTCACACTTTGTGGGATGCTGGGCTGCCTAATGCCAAGGGCACTTTTACTGCCTCTGTCAGCAGCTCAGATTTACACTGGTGCAACCAAGAGCCGAGGTTAGGATTTCTGCTCTGTCTTACGCCTTGGCAATTTCACTGGGAAGAGAAATGAAACTGTCTTAATCCTACTTTATGATAGAGACACTGGGCCTGTTGCCTTCTACCAGAGCCACCTTCTCCCCTCTGTGAGCAGGCAGGTCACAGTAAGCTTTGTCTGCAAGAGAAAACTAATCCTCCTTGTTGGGATAAGACTGCAGTGCATTTAAAATTATACGACTGCCGCAAAGGGGGACTCAAAGGAAAGAAGCGAGACCAGAGCTTTGCAGTTGACTCACAGGTTACAAGCATTAGAAGATACCCCAAATGGGGTGGATTTATGAACACGCTACTTTAATTTTCTGCCTGTGTGATAGTGGTGGCAGAGGGCTGTGAAGCTGCAGTAATGGGAACTCAGTCTTTTGCTGAAAAACAAAAAAAAAAAAAAAAAGAAAAACAAACAAAAAAAACCAGAAACACAGGTATGAGGGAACTGATACTAAAGAATTGTTAAATATGCAAGCTGCTGCTTCTCATAATGAGATGTTAATTCATTCCAGGTTCAGTTTCTCCACTGTATAAAGCAAGCACCTGCAGGAGGTGAAAGTGAAGTTGTAGATGGATTTCACGTATCCAACAAGCTGAAGAAACAAAACCCTCAGGCGTACCAGATCCTGTCGTCTACCACTGTAGACTATACAGATGTTGGGGTTGACTACTGTGATTTTGCTGTGCAATGTAAACAAAGGATTATAGAGTGAGTAGTTCCAACAACATCGAAAAATCAAGACCCTGTTGCATGGCAGATTACATGTTGGTAGGAGACGGTCTGCTCCTGCCACCTCGTGGGGAAACACTGGTTTAACTTGGTCTGTAGCTATTTGGGGTTTGGGTTTTTTTTTGGGGGGGTTGTTTTTGGTTTTTGTTTGTTTGTTTGTTTGTTTTGTTTTTTTATTTGTTCTTCTTATTGTTTGGGGTTTGGGGTTTTTTTCTTTGTTTGGAATTTTTGCCAGCGTATGACTTGTTCTGTGCTTTGTACCACCGCAGTGTAGTTTTCCTTGCACTAGCAAGGAGTGATGGTAATTAGAGCAGCTCCTGGGTACAGACACAGGTTAGTAGCAGCTAGATCCGTTACTAAATTCCAGCCAATGTACATCTGTATCGTGCCAATGAAAGGTCATAATCTGAAGCATTCATACTATAAAAAAGATCAAAAGCAAGTTTTCATAATTGCTTCTGAATTTAAAAAGTTTATTATTCTACAATTCAAGAGTATAGAATATAGATTTCTGAGCAAATTAAGTGTCTACGCCTTCTCCTGATTATCCCTTTTCCTAGTTCATCTTAATTATCAAAAGCCAACCCAAA